TTTTAGCTCCAGTTTAGAATTAGATCAAGGTAGGAGAGTGGTATTGAGGTGGTATATAAGTGATTTTCTAAGACTCCAACATAATCAAAGTGCATAGAGAAAACATGAAATGCATTGAGCTAGTTAGGATCTAGAGAGAACTTTGTATTAAAACCTGAAGAGGTGTAACAAACTACTAAAAAGGTTAGATCAAACTAAAATGAATAGGATGAAAGATTTTTCTTAAAAGATAAAAGGGATACCACATGAGGAGAAAATAGTTGACTCTAGTGAGTGAGATCTTGCATTCTTGAGAAAAAACTATTGAAACTAAAATTAATTGGTTGACTTATGACCACGAAAACTTATTTCATGTTTCATTGATTCATATCTATACTTGAAAAAAAGTCTGTAAAGTTGGCTATCGAATAATGTTGTTTCCCTTAAACTAAACACTCTTATTGTTGTTCCATGTCACACTATTCATAAATAAATTTTGTGTGTTTTCTTCTATCCATATTTTTTACGAGTAAAATTTTGGGGAAGAAATTTCTTAGGGGGGAGGGAGAATTGTAATCTCCTAAGTTTTCTAAATAAATTAAAAGGATGTTTTAATTAATTAAAAGGGTTTTATATTAGAATTTAGAGACATTTAAAATAACTATAAATGTTTTCAATAAAATAAATAAAAGTTTGTGATATCATTTTATTATAATAAGTATATGGAGGAAAATGAGTTTTAATTAATTTTATAATTAAGTGTATTGGGAAAGATGTAATTTTGGTTATAAGTTATTTAAAATATATTTTATTCTATTTGAAAAAGAAAATAAGGGTAGTAGTAATATTATAAATTAGGATTTTGAGCATAGACAAGTTACATTTCTTATTTTTCACATTTACACTCTTCTCTTTGTGCTTTGAATAAATTGAGGACTACTAGGAGATCTCAAAGGCAACCACCTGTAGGCTTGCGTTTTTCCTGTGTTTGTTCATCAAGGTAAGGTGGAATGAGTAGTCTCACTCTCGACTATGAGTTGTGTGTTGGGTAATAAGATTTTCCTCCAATCTCTTTTCTTTTATTATGTGTGGTGAGGGAGAAATATCAATTTTGTAGTGTAAATTGTGAATTTGTATTTTGTACTCTTCTTATGTGTGTTATTTATGATGATTGAGATATATGTGTAATCAATTTCATGTGAATTGAAATATGAGTGAATTTGAGTGCCTATAGTTCTCATAGAAAATCCTTGATTTATAGAGTAAATATGAGTAATCTAAGCATCCCAATGTCACATATCCTATTATAGCAAAACTCAACATTGAAATCTAATCCTCTTCACCAATGTCCTCAACCTCATGATGATATACATATGTACATAGCATAGATAGCTTAGTAAAAATATCAAAATTCACTCATCCATAACATAATAATTAATTAACACATAACATTTCAATGCACATGCAATGAACACGAACTACATAGTATCATGCATGTGGCATTAGTAAAAATATCACATGATGTATTGTCGCTAGCAACACACATAGAGTAGTTTGGGAGTACAGGTCAGGTCACACCCTCTACGCACTCTCACTATGAGAACATATTACCAGGGTTTTGTTGGGATAGTTAAGCCGCACAATATATATCTCATGCACATAATAAGGACTTCAAACCAAACTATCCCCAAAGACTGATCCCAAACTTTTACACAAGAAGGTCTTCCCTAGCGGTGTATTTCATATCGTACCCTTAAAACATTTAGGCATATGATGCATGTAAATCAATACTCTACTCATTATCATCTCACATTATCATTTCACATTATCATGGCTCATATCATATGACCTCATCATGTCGTTCCAAGTATATCAATATATCTCATATCACATAATTTCATCAATTATCTTAGTATAACAATCAATGATGCAACTACATTTAGTAAAGGTTAACAATGAATAGTACAAGAAATCACATCACTACCATTCATAGATCACAAGAGAGAGGTAGCATAAAATTCACATCACACTAGTAGAATTCATTAAACAAAGAAGGAAGGAAATGCAATTGGGCAACTAGCACTCAATGTAAGGCTTCTAGAGAGTAACCCTGACTCTTTGGTTGAGCCACACTCAACATGAAACTCATGCTCAACATGGCCACAAGCAGCGTAGGGGTGATAGAAACATTTCTAGCTCTCTGCCATCGCGATGCTCAGTGCAAAAAATGACGCTCAGCATGGTTTCTGCGAATAAAAACTCAACAATCTACGATTTTTGTGTATTTTCATCCCAAATCATTAATCTATTTATATAATTGATGAAAGTATTCTAAATCATGCAATAAATATTCAAAATAGTACAATTTACGCATACAATTACATCTTCAAACAATCTTATACAAATACCATGTATTCCCTTAGGGTTTCCCACAAAACCCTTAGGAATACCAAAATATGCAATTATAATAAGCCAAACTCAAACATTACTCGCACATACATACTAATTACGTCAATTATAACATACAAAGAGAAATAAAGAAGAAAAAGACCTATTTGGAGAAAACTCCTTATACATAGACACACAACAGAGACAAGATTGAGGGTCAATCCCACTACCCAACATACATTCTGATACCCAAAGTGAGGTTTCTCATTCTCACTTACCTTGATTAGTAGAAAATGATGGGTGATTGACTTCGGGATGGTTTCCTTCTTACTCCTGATCTCCGAGCTCTAAGCACAAAAGAAGAACGTGTATGTAAAAGGAGGAAAAATACGTAAAATTGATATAAAAAAGCCCTTCTTTTTTAAAATTTAACCTTTCTTAACCCTCCTTTAGTTAAAACATTTAACCTTAGTTATTAATTTTGTTCCCTCTTAATTAATTAAATAAAACATTTAATAAAACACCTTATATTATATTCTAAAATATATTAAATAATCAAATAAATATTAAATATCTCTTACTAATTAAAAATAAAATACCAAAATTATTAATAAACTACTTATATTACTTTATAAAAAATTAGATGTTACAAGATAGTTATATAGTGTCAGTTGATTTAATATGATACTTTTTTTTTACTAATAAAGACACTAATAGGAAAATTTTGTGTGTAATAGCTTAATAGGTGAATTTTGTTTTACATAATGAAATTTGAGTAAAAAAATAAAAAAATAATTTTTTATATTTTGAAGACTAAAAATACAAATTTTTAATTCGAGAGACCAATAAAATATAAGAGACTAAAATAAATATAAAATTTGAGGGAAAAATATATTTTTTAAACTTATATTTTTAGTCCCTATAATTGTAATATATATATATATATATATATATAATATCATATTAAAAACATATTTAAATTAATTAATTTTTATATTTTTTTAAAACTTCGAGAATAATCTTATTTACAACTTGTGTGAGGTTGTTTCTAGCTAATTGAATTCAATCAAAGTCTTTAAAATAAGTTATGCATTTAGTTAGTTAATAGTCTAAATACTTTAATTATCTTGTTCATCAAACTTGTTCCATTTTAACACTTATATAGCGTTTTTCTTATTGCGAAAAAAATTTGGTTTCTACAATTCAATATTGTGTTATATATTCTCAATTTGGTCGATTCTAAAAAAAAAAAACATAAAAGCAGCCAATTCCTTACAGCCTACTTGTACCAAAAGAAAAAGCTTTCCAAGTGTGTGCTCCTTTTTAAATATTTTGGCTTAAATATTTTGTCCTTGAATTATACCTATTTTTTGTTTTTGTTCCTAAACAATTTTTACTTAATGTTTTTTCTTTGTAAAATATTTTTTCTTATTTTTAATTCTTGACGTGATTTTTTTTTTTTTTATTGTTTTGAATGACTTAAATCTACTTAAAACATTGTCCGAATGTTTGACATTTAAAATAGTAAAAGAAAAATATTACAATTACGACTAATTAAAAAAATTGTACTGTTCATACCAAAATACCGAGTTCCACGTTGGCCCTAATTGCGCTACGCACACAGGCCCATAGTCGACAAGGCCTGTGACCAATGTTGAGCCGACTTCAACCCTACTCTCGCCTAAACAGAGAAAAACCCTAAATTCACCAAGTTACGCCTGTTATAAACACGAGGCATCTACACTATCAAAAGCTAACTTTAGCATTGGAGTCTCTTTTGCAAGTACCCATCCCATCTCAGAACAGTCGATGTACCGAACAGAGGAAGCTCACTAATCTTGTCAGCAGATCACCCTCATGACCGATCTCGGGTAAGAAAAAAAATATTTTATATGGATAAAATTAAATAACTTTTTTAGGGCCAAAACTAAAAAATATATATATTTTATTGATTAAAAAATATTTAAGTTTTATATTTTTAACTTTTGTTGATAAGCAATCTTATCATGTCATGGTAATAGTATTACTAAATTCAGTTTTATTTTCTCGCATATAATTTTGGTAAGCAAATCAAGTATACAGAATAAACAAAATAAACTCAAAAGTTGGTAACACTAATAATATGACACTTATATTCTTTAATTAAAATTAAGACTATGAAGTGGCAATTGAAATTACCATTTGTTTTTGTTTTTCTTCAGCTCTAAAATTTTGTCTGTTATTTCTATATACATGTAGAATTTTTTTTGGGATTGCCCTAATCAGCTTTTGGAATTTTTCGTGGTTTCTGAGATATTCTTTCAAGTTTTCGTCATTCGAATCGGTTACGAAATTAATCCCCGATTCATAGCTCCAACACAGTTAAAGCAATTATTTTTTCTTAAAGTTGTATTTTGTAAGAATCAAATTCGGGTCTCTCTTACAAACCCAACGTATATTTATAAGAATCAACATGAATATGAATATGATATTTATATATAAATTAATTTCAATTTATAATTTTTTCCATTTTTTTTTTCTCTTATAAGTATTTTTAAAGAGGTTTATGTAAACATACATTCACACTTAACACTCTTTTCTTATATGAAAGAAAATTTTCTGTCTTTCTTTTTTTTTTATTCTTCTTCTTCTTCTTCTTCTTCTCTCTCTTATTTTTTTTTTTTTAAAGAAACATTATAGAAGAAAAGTGTAGAATACAAGTGTAAAAATGAGTCATCGTTCATCTCCTTTCCAGCTATCCTTTTGCTTTGGGCCCTTGGGCCCATTCTTGGGGCCCCAATTCATCCAATAATTCAACCAAGGTGGCTCTCTAATTTGTGACCCCAAATATTCAGCTCCAACTATTTCAAACCCTTTTGCCATATCCATGACCTTCTCACTTTTATCTGCATCATTCCTTATGCCCAATCCTCTCACTCCTTGCATTACAAGCCCAGGTTTTGGGAACAAAGCATGGCCATGCAAGGAAGAATAAACCACAGGTCTATTACCATTTTGGAACTCAACCTCAGAGGCATCCACCCATTGACCCCTACTATGTTGTGACAAGTAAACCCTCCACAATTCTCCATTGAAGTTGCTCACCCTTAGTGTCACATGCTCCCAATCCCCCACATGTTCCCCTTTGGTCCTCAGTGGAATGTTGGTGCATGCCACTTTTGCCCTTGCACCCCCATTAAATGGATAGAAAACCCACATGACAATGTCACTAAAAGTCCCCCCTAGCATGGGCTTAACATGAACATAAGCTTGTGCACTTGTTAAATCTCCTTTTTTGACTCTAACTCTCTTGGTTTCATCCATAGGCAAGTCCAACCAATGGGTAACAACATCATCAATATTAGAACCACCTTGTGGAAGGTTAGAGCCTCTTGGTTCTATTGAACTCTCTTTGATGTCACCCTTTCTACTTTTCTCCAAAACTAATGCCCCATTGGTGAAAAACCATTCCACAGAGGAAGGGAGGTACTCTTCCATGGGATGCAAATACATATATGGAGAATAAGCCTTGATAAATGCCTTAACTTGTGATAAATTAGGCATGGAGGGAAATCCACCCTTGGTGTTTTTCAAACAAACAATAGGTAAAGCTTTGGAATTTGTCCCTCCACTTTGTGCTACAAAGGTTCCTACACTAACCCCTTGAGCTTCAACCCCTCTCTTTATTGGTCTAACATCATACACATTGAACCTCTTGTTGTCTATTCTCCAAAGCTTCATTGAATGGTGTGTTGTGCATTCATCAGTGAGGTCTGATCTAACACACCTTATTTTGTCAAGGGAAGGTTTCTCTTGTGAGGTGGTGACAACATGGCCCACAGGTTTGTACCCTTCAGGGGCTATTGGTAACCAAATATAGCCTTCTCCATCTTGCTTTATTTTTAGAGACCGAGTGTTCCATACCAATTTGTAATCAAGTGGTATGGCTAAAGCTCTATTGGCGGTTGATGAGTTATCTTTCCCCACAAGAACCCAACCATGAAGAGGTTTGTTGTTGGGTTGGCAGTAATATCCCAGCATAAAGAACCCTTCAGATAGACCTGTTGGTTCAAAAAAAGTGACACCAAGATTATTGTGTCCACCTTCATAGGTTGTCCAAACTTTGTTGAATGTTGTTATTTGTGACACTAGCAACCCACCACCAAGGTCAATGATGCCGGTTGCAAATCCATTACCTACAAAATGCGTGACAACCCAATAAAAACCATCAGAAAAATTACCATAATCAAATTCAGAAATTCCTATTTAGATAAATTTATATTAAAGTGCTTTTAGGAGACAAAAATGAAAAATTAAAATAAGTTTATCCGTAAGATGGAAATAATTAATGTATCAGTTAAAAATAAGATTTTGAAAAAGTTAATGAGAGAAAACTTTTACAAAAATAACTTATGCACAAGTTAATTTTAGCTTATGTAAAACTATATTTCATTTTTTTTATTTTTCTTTTTTAAAAGTGTTTATAAAAAAATTTATCCCAACATTGATGAAAAAATATAAACCTAAATCAATAAAGATCATATAAAAACAAAAACTGTACCATATTATTAGATGGTAAAGAATTGATTTGTCTTATTTTTCATGAGATTCAAACAAATATTATGGAAGAGACTTGAATGATAAAAAAAACTACCCTCAATCATGATTAGTTCAACAAAAACAAGATATTTACCATCTAATAAAATAGTGATTAAATAACTAATTATAAGAGATAAAGACCTCTTATTGAACATTTATTGAATAATGCAACCCATCATAGGTTATTCAAAATAAAAAACCTAATACAATATCTATCAAATAATTAGGTATTATGATAATTTGACCATTATTAATTATTAATATAAGTATTAATAATTAATATATTAATATTAATAATTAAAAAATATTTCTTAATAATTAATTAATGTTAATTCACAAAATTAGATTGATTAAATGATTAATCCAACAAACATTTCGATAATATATATATATATATATATATATATATTAATTTTATATTTTATATGCAATTTTTTATTTAAATTTATTTTAAAA